GGAGGCGGCGGACGCGGGGCCGCGGCCGGCTTGGGTTCCCTCCTGCCCCGAGCTGCTTCTGCAAACTCCCAAGTTGCTGCCACCTTATGTAGTGAACTCCCCACTTCTCCCACCGTGCGACGCGCTGGGCACTTCTCGGCGCCTTTCCTTCCTGCTCCGGCTGGGGGCCCCGAAGAGCGGTTTGCGACGCCTGACTGCGCCGCCCCGGTCCACGGGAGCGCCGCTCGGGGGCCGGGCTGCCGCTTCTGGGGCCCAGGCTCGGGTGGGAAAGATGCCGGAAGGTCGGCTTGGCGCAGTCGGACGTACATCCTTTCCAGATGCCACCTTGGGGAACCCTCCAGGCACCGCACCTGGACAAGCGGTCCGCTAGAGGTGGGGTGTGGGTTTAAGGAGAGGCTCTCCGTGCAGGGGTGCCTTTCGGGTGCTGCAGGGCAGGTAGGAGCTGTCCTTTCAGCACCCAGTGCTCCACCGCCTCCCCAAACGCTGAGGCAGCACCCCAACATCTGTTGAGTGGCTCCTTTAAGTCCCTGCACGTCCGGCCCTCTGGACCCCGTCACTGCATGATGGAGAACAGCCGTCCACACCGCCTCTCAGTACTCCCCTCCCCCTCAACACTCCCTGTCTCGGATACTCTAGCCCAGCTGCCCCCACTCGACGCGGCCGCCGAGCCTGGGCTTCGCAGACGCCACAGCTGGCGAAATCCCTCCTAACAGTCAAGCTGGGTGGCTTTCGCTTGGGGCGAAGTAAAGTAGGGTGAAGGAAAGCGCTGGAAGGGTAGGAAACACGAAGAGGAACAGGTGTGACGGTTAAGGGGCTCCTCTCAGGAACATAGCGCAAAGCCAAGGGTACTCGCGCTGGCCAAATGCACCCGAGGGAAGGTACCAAAGGAAGGAAGCAAAACGAGGCGTTCTTGGTTGCAGTTAAACAAGCCTTACATCTAAAAATTAAAAACAAAAAACTCTGGCACCTAGAACACAACAGGCTAAGTATCTGCAACAGGGTGTTTGGCACTCAGGTAGGTCCCACCGGATTGTGAGGCAAGCGTTGAAGCTGGCTTGTACAAATCATAGCAGAAAGCAGGAGTTCAAATCAAGCATTCTGCAGCCCTTGCTTCTGGGCAGCTCGTCTCCTCTGAAGCAGCGCCTGCCTACTCCGCCCTGATTACCTTTCCCAGAACACAAGTCCTCAGGCACAGATACCAGTCCCATTAATCACCTCTACTGTACCCCAATCGAGAGCCTGAATAACCACGCATGCCAGGCAGATTCCGTTTGCTGCCGCCAGTCTCTCATTCCCGCCTTAATTGTAGGGCTCTGCATTATAGCCACATAATTCATGCCTCCCTAATTAAAGCTGTCAGCAGCCCCATTGTAAAGCTGGAAAATGTACAGCACCTGCTTTCAGGGAACCCTGTGCCAGAGACTGGTTGCAGAGACTGCCAGGTGTATAGGGGGTCTTGCCAAAGGGTGCATCGATTGGCTTTTGGTTGCGGTGTCTGGCATTTGTCTTCGATTCCGGGAGGAAAAAAATGGCCTAGAATCCCTAGTGCCAGCATCCAGGCACAGAAAGGGAGGGGTCCAAAGACTTCTTAACATGGCTGGTAGCAACCCACCTCTCGGAGGGAGGTGCTGGGGAAAGGTCTTATAGGCAGGAAGATGAGAAGACTGGAGTGCAGCATGTGTACCGTTTTCCTGGCTAGTGTTTACTGCTCTGGGGCACTTGAAGCAGAGACCTCAGGCAGACAGCTCTTCAGAGTAGTAATCCTCTCAGCAGCTCTACAGTGAGGCCTGGCAGAAGGGAAGGAGACAACCTTGACTACCAGCCTCTTCCTGATGGCGGCCTTGGCCCTTACAGGTAGAAGGCCTGGAGTAAGTTCTGCCATGCTGAGAATAAACTGCCTTCGGGCCTACTTAGGGAGTCAGGTCAAAGAGCTGTGAGGAGCTTAAAGACTGGGAGTGGAAATCAGTTTGAGTTGGTAAGGGCAGGAGGCAGTCAGCGGGAGAAATGCTTGGTTCTGCTGTATTACACAGAAATTGGCCTGTGTTGGATTAGACTCTAGGGCCTATAGGCCCCTCTGCTACCCTGTAGCCATGGAAGGGGTGGGTCTCACCGGGGGAGTGGAGCCTGGCCCCATGCCCCGCAAGAGGAGGAGAAAAGCTTGTGTGGGCTGAGTCAACAATAGGTAATTGGATTGTAATCAGGCAGCCTGGCTTCCTTGAGCCATTGGGGGCGCTGAGCCTTTCAGTGAGCAGTCAGAACTGCGTGGTGGGAGGGGTAGAGATTCAATAGCAAATCCCAGGTGGAGAGCCAAGGGGAGGAGCAGCAGATGGGCAAATTTCCTTTCTGTCTTTCCCATCCCTTTCTTCCTTGCCCAATAACGCTGGCTGCCTATTAGCTATTTACCAGTACATCCAAATCTTTTGTGAAAGTCAAGTGGGGAGGGCTAAGATGGATGGGTAAAGATCTAGGCTGAAGGAAGGCCTCTTCTGCATGTTGAAGGATTTGCTGGTGAAAAAGAACGTGCATCCCAAACAGGTGGATATGGAAGAGAGATGATAAATTAGGGTCCCCTTATCCAAATGGACTGTGACCAGACTTGGATTTAGTGTACTTGTGGGAGAACTCTCCTTCAAACTCCAGAGGGTCAACTGTCTCAGGTAGCCAAAGGTGTCTACGGGCAGCGGACCCAGCCTTTGGGGCTTCCAGCCAAGCAAGGAAAGCATGATTCATCAAAAGTGGGGAGGTGCCTTTCACCAAGAAAAGGGGGTTTTGGGGGTTCTGGAGGCAGAGGGCAAGGCAAAATGGCTGTTGACCAGCCTCACTTAGGCAGATGCAGTGGCCAAAAGTCCCAGCCAGTCAGCTCTCTTGAGTTCCAAGGCTTGCAAGAAGCCCTGGACTCGCTCTTCACGTCTGGCTGAGAGTTTGTGCAATCGTGTCCGTCGGAGCTGGGCGTCCCCACTGGCCTGGAGCCCCTCTTGAAGCAGCTGCTCTGTCACTGCAGCCTGGTCCCTCTCCAGCTGGTGCCGCTTCCGCTCTTCAGCATACATGTCCCGGGCTTTCTGCTAGAGAAAAGTAGGGTTTGGGGTGAGGAGATAATTTCAGGTGTGGACGGATCTGGGATGGAGAAGGTGGAGGTGGGGTGCATGCAATGTGGGTCACGTGGGAGTCTGTACTAGCAATCGAAAGGCTTCGGAGGGGTATGCAGAGGGTGGTACCCATATTACCCAGGCAGGACAGCAGCGGCTGTGGGTCTTTTTGTGTGGAAGTATCTGTATTCCTTAAATTTCTTAAGCTTGCACTTGGAGGGGAACCGGGTAAATGGTCTGACTTCTGATTCTCCTACCAACTAGCTTTTTGGCTTTGGGAAAATCTTCTAGCCTTAATTTTTCATCTGTAAAGTGGGGGTTGTGCCTACCTTGAAGAGAGGTTTAAAGGATTAGGGATAATAAATGCAAAATCCTGTCTAGCATATTAGCAGGCTCTCAGACAGAAACAGCAGTCTTGTATGTTACTGTTTACTGTATGCAAAAGCACTCACTGGGTCTTCTTGTGGTCTCCTAGGTTAAGGTGGGGGGGCCATTCTTCAACTTCCTGAGGTATTTTTCAGGGTCCAGCTCTAGGCTTGCCTTCTGTATGAAGACAGGCCTGACTATTGTGGCAAACAGCCCTCCTAGGAATGCTCTAAGAAGCAGGTTCAACCCTTTGGGGGCACTTATTGGATCCGCTTAGAGTAGGTTTTAGTATCCAGTCTGCTGTTTTTGTTAGAGCCACCAGGGTCCCTGGATTCAACTTTGACAGCAAGTGTATCCTGTACCTTTGGACAGCTGTACTGCCTAGGGGTGGGGGAGAGAAGCTGATGCTCCAGGTAAAAGCAAGCTAGACTGGGACACAGTGACACACAACAATGATCCCAGCAGACAGGAGGCTGAAGGAGGAGGACTGCTATGAGTTCAAGACCAGCCTGGGCTACACAGAGAGTTCCAGGCCAGCCAGAGCTACAGATTGAGACCCTGTTTCAAAGAAGAGAAGAAAAAAGAAAAGCTTATTTTCCTTTTTCTGTCTTCCTCTTTTTTGTGTGTGTGTGTGCATGTGTATTCTGTCTGGATGTGATTATACAGGCACACATGTATGGAGGACAGAGGGTAACCTCAGATGTTGTTCCTCGGGCCCTGTTTATCTTGTTTCTTGGGTCTCTTGGCCCTACACTTGCTAATTAAGGCTGGTGGAGAACCCAAGGCTTATGCCTGTCTCCACCTCCCCAGTGCTGAGATTACAAACACATGCCACCATACTCAGATTGGTTTTTTTTTTTGGTTTGGTGGTTTTGTTTTGTTGTTTTTTGAGACAGTCTCACTGTGTAGCCCCGGCTGGCCTGGAACGCACTATATAGACCAGGCTTGCTTCAAACTCACAAGGATCTGCCTGCTTCTGCCTTGTAAGTGCCAGAATTAAGGCCTACACCACAATGCCCAGCCCACACCCAGATTTTTAGGTGGTCCTGGTACCAAATTCATGTCTACATGCTTGTACAGAAAGCATTTTACCAACTGTGCTATTTCCTCAGGCCCCTTATCCTTTTGTTTTTGGTTTTCTGAGACAGAGTTTTGCTCTGTTGCCCAGGCTGGCTTTGAACTCTTGGCAGTCTTCCTGCCTCTGCCTCCTAAGTGCCACCCTGTCCAAGTAGGAAGTCCTAAAGGTCAATGTCTCTCCATAACCATATACAATCTTCCTATTTAGTAAACAACCAAAGGAAGTAAGAGCTTCTTTGAGACAGAGTCTCACACAACCCAGGCTGGCCTCAAACTTGCTATGCAGCTAGGGATGACCCAATACTCCTAGCTCCTGCCTCCACCTCCCAAGTAGATATTGTGTTCATAGCTTTTCTGGAGACAGACATTACAGGCTGGACAGATGCTCAGTTGGTAAAGCACCTGCCTTGCATAGTGTGAGGAGTTGAATTTGATTCCCAGAACCCATGTAAAAAGCTAGGTATAGGGGCTGGTGAGATGACTCAGCAGTTAAGGGCACTTAACTGCTCTTGCAGAAGACCCAGTTTTGAATCCCAGCACCCACATAGTGGCTAACAACCATCCGTGACTTCAGTTCCAGGGGATCCTTCTGTCCTTTGTGGGTACTGCATGACACTTAACATACATGCAGGCATAACACTCATGCATTAAGAAAAAAAAAAAAGCTAAGTGTGGTGGTACATGCTTGTAATTCCAGGCCTGGGAAGACAGAGACAAGAGGATCCATGGGCTCATTGGCTAGCCAGCCTGGCCTAATTAGTGAGCTCCAGGCCCATGGGAAACTCTGTCTCAAAGGAAGTAGATAGCATCCTGAGGGTGACATCCGAGGTTGTCCTCTGGCTTCTATATGTATACCCCTTCTACATGAATACACATATATAAAAAGCCTCATGAGCCAGGTGTGGTGGCTCATGCCTTTAATCCCAGCACTCGGGAGGCAGAGACAGGTGGATCTCTGTGAGTTCAAGGCCAGCCTGGTCTATATAGTGAGTTCCAGGACAGCTGGGACTACAGGAAGACCCTGTCTCAAAAAGACCAAAAAAATAAATAAATAAATAAACCTCATGAAGGGCCCAGAGCCAGATGTGGTAGATAACATTCTCAGCACTTTTCACGTATTAGCTTACTGACTCCTCGTTGCAAACCTAGAAAAGAGGTGTTCCTTTTTTGGTCTTTTTGAGACAGGGTCTCTCTGTAGCCCCAGCTGGCCTGGAACTTGATATGTAGACCAGGCTGGCCTTGAACTCACAGGGATCCACCTGCCTCTGAGCACTGGGATTAAAGAGTGTGCCAACACATCCAGCTTCCTTTTTTTCAAGATTTATTTACTTTTATTTTATGTGTATGAGTATTTGTCTGCATGTATGTGCACCATGTGTGTGTGCCTGGTGCCCATGGAGACCAGAAGAGGGTGTCAGATCCTCTGGAACTAGACATACAGATGGTAATGAGACACTATTTATTTGATGGGAACCAAACCCAGGTCCTCTGCAAAAGCAGCATGTTCTCTTAACCAGAGAGCCATCTCTTCAGCCCCCAAGAGAGGTATTCTAATCATTCTACTTCATTTTATAGATAAAATGATTCTTTGAAGGGTTACATAATCTCCAGTCACACAGCTAAATAGGCAGCAGCATTATTCAAAGTCAGGAATGTCAGAAAATACCTCTCCCTGGAATACAGTGACCATCCAAAGAACACCAGTTCTCTGATTCAGCCCAGTTTAAACTGACCAATGTGTTGAAGGAGGATTAGCAGGACCACTTCTCTGTCTTGGGAAAGTAGGTAAATAGACACTTTTTAACTCATCTGTTAATAACCCCTCATGGACCCCAAATCCATATAACTGTAGCTGAGGATCAAATGCTCTACACTGCTTCCCCTTCTCTGGCCTGATTCCCTTTATGGCTCTGCTCCCTGCTGACAAGTCCTACTGTGTTACAGTCCAGATCTCTCTTTGCCAGCCTCTACAATGGCTAGGTGGGGGTCTGGAGAGGGCTCAGCAGTTAAGAGCACCTGCTATTCTTCCAGAGGACCTGAGTTAAGTCCTCAGGTCAGGATGCAACTGCCTGCAACTCCAGCTCCAGGAGCTGATGTACTCTTCTGGCTTCTGCAGGCAGTTGCACATATGTGCACATACCCACACACAGCATATACACATACACATAATTAAAAATAAATAGGGGGCTGGAGAGATGGCTCAGCAGTTAAGAGCACTGGCTGTTCTTCCAGAGGACCAGGGTTCAGTTCCCAGGATCCACATGACAGGTAACCAGTTCCAGGGGATCTGTTGCCCTCTTCTGGCTTCCACAGGCACTGCATGCACAGGTGCACTTACAAACACCCTGGCAAAACAAACATAAAATTTAAAAAAAAAAATTTTTTTTTTAATTTTTTATGCTTGGCGTGGTGGTGCTTGCCTTTAATCCCAGCACTTGGGAGGCAGAGGCAGGTGGATCTTTGTGAGTTCGAGGCCAGACAGCTGGGGCTAGAGGGAGACCCTGTCTCAAAAAGACCAAGAAAAAAAGAGAGAGAGAAAAAATTTTTTAGATAGCTGGGTGGGGCTGGGCGTGGTGACATATGCCTTTAATACCAGCACTTAGGAAACAGAGGCAGGTGAATCTCTGTGAGTTCAAGGCCAGTCAGGGCTACATAGTAAAACCCTATCTCAAACACACAAACACCAAAACAAAGCCAACAGCATAATGGCTGGATGATCATAGGAAGACGGTCATGGTTCTTCAGATACCAAGATCTGTTCTCCAAAAACTGTAGTCAAGTTCCTTCCCCAAAATGCTAATCTAGTTTGGAGCCTGCTGCCCCGCTCTCTACCTGTTTCCTGCAGAAAAAGGGGGCAGACTGTCCTGCCTAGAGACAGAGCAGTTCAGATTCTGACACTGGGAACTTGGGTGTGAGGTCAGGAACAGGCATGGAGGTAGGAAACAGAGGGTATGAGAACAAGGAAGCATGCAGAGCCCAGCCTGACCACAGTACAGTAAGTTTTAAGAAGCAGATGCAGGGCTAGCGATGTGGCTCAGTTGGTAGAGTGCTTGCCTAGCACACTCAAAGCCCTGGATCCTAACTCCAGGACTGCCAGGAGTTTAGTCTCTCAGCTCTGACTCTTGCCACCCTGAAAGTCCTGAGTGATTTTTACTAAGGGCCTAATCAGAACCTGCCCAGCCTTTGATTAAGTCCTGTGGTTGTATTACCCCTGCCTACCAAGCTTTGAGAGATTAGAGCCTCATCTCCTGCCTTCCCTCTTAGACATCCTGGCCTCTAGTACTCGAGGACCCCAACTTTAGAGCCATGGTGTCCTCTGCCCTCTTTCATTACCTCTGTCATCTCTCTGTGTGTTCTTTATTGCCTTACTATAACTGACTTATCTTACATACTTGTTTACTTGTGTACTGTCCATGAGGACAAGAGATCTTGGCTGGCTGGTTAGCTACAGATTCTCCCATGCCCAACATCATGCCTGATTCATATAAGCGCTCAATAAACATTTATGGAGAGGACAGAACTTAAGTAACTCCTCTGATAATCATGTGTACAGCATCCGAAAAACTTGCAATAATAATAAAAGGCTTATAGGCATGCAAATTATAGGTCCATACGCAAGAATAGTCATACACAGAGACTTGCACAGGGCTCCTCTGAGCTTCATGTAGAGTCGATTTACTCTTTACACACAGAACTCTAATGTGCTGGATTAACTGTTTGTTGTTCTTTTGGCATAGTTGGTGTAAAGCAGGCAACAGGAAGGAAAGAGAAGGGGCTCTGTCACAATTAGCCACTGACACAGCAAAGCACCAAAGAGGAAGGACTCAGAAATACACAAGTCCAAAAGCCAGGTATTTTTGGATCATCAACTTCAAGTTAACAGCCCCACTATTCAAGGACACCACTGTACAAGGAAGTGCTTAAAGATGTCACCTTTCATTATCATTACCATCATCATTAGGGAGTATTCTAATCATCATCATAAGTAAGTGCAAGGTATATTGTAGGCGTAAATGAATTATGGGCAAGATATACTTTAGAAAATTTTCCATCAAAGGGTCAAAAAAAGCTTCAGTTCACAGAGAAAGCTTTGGTCATATGGGGAAATTTGATATTCACTTTTACTAGCAGCAGATAAATTTAGGTTTTGCTGGTTTTCTTTCACTTGTTCTAAACTTCCTTGTTCAATTTTTTTCATGTTTTTTTTTAAATTTTATTTTTGTTTTTTATGTGTATGAGTGTATTGCCTACATGTGTGTAAGAATAACCATGTCATGCAATGCCTACGGAGGTCAAAAGACAGTGACGGATCCCCTGGAACTGGAGTTATAGACAGTTCTTAGCTGGGAATCGAACCTCAGTCTTCTGCAAGAGCAGTCAATGCTTTTAACCACTGAGCCATCTCTCCAGACCCCAATTTTTTCATGTTTTGAGACTCAATGGTCAAACCTTCATAATTCAGGTGACTTCTGCCAGGAGTTCTGCAGACAGATTCAAGGATTCTGCTAAGCCCCTAAAACTATTCTATGTATTTGAACGATAAGTGTGGTTTTACAGAAAACGAATCCATTTTTCACTAGACATGTTCTATGGCTTACATAGTTTAAGTTCCCCAAAAGGCCACCAAGACCAAGGAGATTGAGAAGGCCCGATTTACATCATTCTTTCTTCCTGGCTATTATCTCTCCAGACTTAAGAAGCAGCTATTGTTTCAAAATTCAGGTTCCTAGTTCTGTGCCCTTGGGACATTTTGTTTCTCTGCTTCTGTTTTTATATCTGAAAAATGAGGACACCAAATCTGCTACATCTTGGGAGGGTTAAATAGACTTTATAAAATATATAAAATCAGGGCTGGAGAGATGGCTCAGTGGTTAAGAGCACTGACTGCTCTTCCAGAGGATCCGGATTCGATTCCCAACACCCACATGGTGGCTACAAACTGTCCTTAACTCCAGTTACAGGGGAATCCGACACCCTCTTCTGACCTCCACGGCATTGCACACGACACAGGTGCACTCATATACATGCAGGCAATACACTTATACACATAAAATAAAAATAATAAAATATATAAAATCACACAGAAGATCCTCAGTTTGTTAGCCATCCCTCCCCCACCATTAAGAAGGGTAAACCGAGGGTGGTGGCACATGCCTTTAGTCCCAGCACTCGGGAGGCAGAGGCAGGCAGATCTCTTGTGAGTTCAAGGCCAGCCTGGTCTACATAATTCCAGACCAGCTGGGCCTACAGGGAGACTCTATCTCAAAAAAAAAAAAAAAAAAAAAAAAAAGAATGGTAATCAGTTGCAAGCTACTGTTACAAAATTTGGTTATCAAAATTGAAAGCAGAACTCTTAAGTCCTGGTACAATGTAGCTTTACACAACAGAAAGACAATGCTATTTTATTCTAAATACTTTTTGGAAGAGGCTTGGACTCTACCCTTCCACTATTCACACTGGCTTTGAATTAGTAATCCTCCTGCCTCAGTCTCCCATGTAGCCAGTACTACAGCTGGATGTTACCAATTATGACCTTTTATTAGGGAAAAATGGACAATCTCTCTGAGAAGCCTTTTCCAGGGTCTTTAAGAGGCTAAAGATGTAGCGTGAACTTTATTCCTACTTCAGATTGATTATATGTCCCCAAGTCATTTTTTCTTCTATTTACATAAGAAACTAGGAAGACCTGATTTGAGTCCTTGGGAGCAGTCAATGAGATAACGCGTGTAAAATGCTCACAGTGTCTGACACGTAATAAATGCTAGCTATGATCATTAGAATGTTCATCACTATGTCTGTCAAGAAGTGCTTGGTGGGCTGGTGAGATGTGGGTAAAGGCACTCATCACCAAGCCTGACCACCTGAATTCCATCCCCAGGACTCACATGGTAGAAGGAGAGAACTGACTCCCAGAAGTTGTCCTCTGACCTCCACACACCATCTATGGCACACTCATGCCTGCACACAAACACACTGACACACAAATAAATAAAAGAGGGCCAGGCGTGGTAGTGCATGCCTGTAGTCCCAGCACTCAGGAAGCAGAGGCAGGCGGATCTCTGTGAGTTCAAGGCCAGGCTGGTCTACATAGTGAGTTCCAGGAATAAAATAAAATAAAATAAAATAAAATAAAAGAAAGAAAGAAAGAAAGAATTATAGAGTATGATTCTAACAAGGTGCCCCATCAATGCCAACCTTTACTTCCATCCCACCCAACGTGACTCATACCTGAAGTGCACTATGGTTCATCTGAAACTGCAGGATTGCCTCACAGAGGTTCCAAAATATGTACTCTGGCCACAGAACAGGTTGGAATACTAGGCAGGAATGGGAGGTCTGGGAAAAATAGGAAGAGAGTATGATTTAGTAACGCGTAGAGCTACAACGCTGGCCAGTACAGCAATGGCGGAGGCACAGGCTTGCAGGGCTCTAGCTGTTTCTGCTGCCAGCCCTGATTCCCTCATGGATGGGGGAGGGGTCATTTGAGGCAACTAGATCACCTGTCTGTGGCGAAGCAGAACTAGACTAGATCACCGTTTCCACCAGGATTTTTCTAAGAGCCAATTTTAGGACTATGAAATAACATCTGGATTATGTTATTGGCTCTTGGTCCTTGGAGGTCATCCAAGACACACACACAGTCAGATAAAGTCAGCGATGAGCAAATGGTAGCTGCCCTTGTTATTTTTAAGCAACAGTGTGGCACCATGTTTAAGACCACGGGTTCTGAGCCAAATCGCCTGGCGCTACCATTACATTTTAACTGGGTGAGTTATTTAACCTCTTTGGGCCTCAGCTTCTTCAAATGTAAAGTTGGATAATACAAGCATCTGGTTTTTAGGGTACTCAGAAGATTAAATGCACATAAAGGAAAACAAAGAACAGAGTGAATGTGAATATTCTTTGAAATATTTGGAGGCTAGCCTAAGATCTGCCTGTCATCTGTTCCCATGGCCGCAATGACTTGTTCAGAAATTGGCTTTGTCAAAAAACTTTGTTTCAGACAGTAGGGATCATTTCTGACTTGGTCACTGTCATATTTCCAGCACAAAGGAGGAATACAGCATTTTCATTCTGAAAGAACAATCAGCTCTTCCAGACTACTGTCCTCTGCTCATTTGAAGACGTGAGATTTCATGCTATCTAGGGTGGCCTTTTCTGCTAAGTCCTCTACTTTACCAGTGTGTTTCTCAGGTTTTCTTTCCTCTTCTCCCTCCCTGCTTCCCTCCCTCTCCTCCTCTTCTTTCTTTTTCCCCTTTCTTTCCTCTGTCTCTCTTCCTGCCATGCAATCCCAAAGTGTCAGGGATTGTGCTGGATAGCTTTAGTGTCAACTTGACACACCTGGGTTGAGGGAGCCCCAATTGGGGAATTGCCTCTATTGGACTGGCCTGTGGCCATGTCTGAGGGGCATCTTCTTGATGAGTGATGTGGGAGGGCCCAGCCCACTGTGGATGGTGCCACCCCTGGGCAGGTGGGCCTGTGTTGCATAAGAAAGCAGGCTGAGCAGGGGCCAGGGAAAACAAGCCAGTAAGCAGCATTCCTCCATGGCCTGTGCTCCAGCTCCTGCTTCCAGGTTCCTGCCCTGAGTTCCTACCCTGGGCTCCCTGAGAACTGCGATCTGGGAGTTGTAAGCTGAATAAACCCTTTCCTCCCCAAGTTGGTAGTGGTCAGAGTATTTTGTCAGAACAATGAAGAAACAAACTAGGACAGGGATCGAATTCAGGGCCTTGTGTATGTTGGGTAAGCAATGTGACACTGAGCTACATACCTAGCCTGCCACTGTGGTCCTTTTTTTATTTTTGTTTTTGAAACAGGGTTTTACTATGTAGGCCCAGCTGGCCTGGAACACACTACATAGACCATCCCAGGCTAGCCTGCTATCTCATAGCAACCTGCCTGCCTCAGCCTCCTGAGTGCTGGGATTAAAGGCATGTGCAACCACATCTGGCAACACTGTGATCTGTTAAATCTCAGTGTTCAAAGTAAACTTTTCAAATGTGATCTGAGTAGCAGAGTAGCCACAGAACCATGAGATGTACATATTTCCTTCAGCATATCTCCAGACATTAAATAAAAACATCTTCACAGGGCTAGAGAGAAGGCCCAGAAGTTAAGAGGACTTGCTGTTTGGAGGACCTGGGTTCAGTTCCTAGTACCCACCCACGTGGCAGCTGAAAACACTTCTTAACTCCAGTTCCAGGGGATCCAACACCCTCTTCTGGCCTCCGTGGACACTGCGTGCATGTTGTTCACTTACATGCATGTAGGCAAAACACTCATACACATAAAAATAAAGTCTAAAAAAGCATCTTCACTAGCTAGTTGTCAGTTCATTCATGTGGTTAGTTCCAGTGTTTGGCTGACCCAAACATACTTCAAAATGACTTACCTGCCAGAGCAAGAAGTCACTGAGGCGCACTTCTCCTGAGGTCCGTATCAAGATGTCCGGGTGAGGAGAGTGGCTGCTATAGAGGCACTTATCGAGCAGAGACTCAGAGACATCGCTAAGGTGAGCAGGGGACAGAAGCACGGGTCTCTTTTTGTGGTACTCTCCTGCGGAACTCCCACACACAGCCTTCCCAGTCTATAGGCCATCAAATACATCTACCAGTACACCCCAGCCCTACTGAGGACTTAAATCTTTACATCTACATACAGCATGTCTTTTGTTTTGGGGGAGTTGTGGGGCAAGGAGGTGCAGGGATTTAACCCTGGGCCCTGCACGTGCTAGGCAAGTATTCTACCACTGTGCTTCACTTTCAGCCCTAAATACATACTTATAATCTCTCTCTTTTTTTTTTTGGTCTTTTTGAGACAGGGTCTCTCTGTAGCCCCCAGCGGGCCTAGAACTCACTATGTAGACCAGGCTGGCCTCACAAAGATGCTGGGATCATAGGCGTGTGCCACCACGCCCAACATAATAATCTCATTTGAATAGATACAGAAGTGAGGCCCATACCAGTCCTAATCCCATCCCCATAGTTGGCATGAATTTGTCTTTTTTTTTTTAAAGACAAGGTCTATGAAGCCTTAGCTGACTTGCAACTTGGAAGTCCACTGTGTACACCAGGCTGGTCTTGAACTCACAGAGATCCTACCTGTACCTTCCTTCCAAGTGCTAAGATTAAAGGCATGTACCATGCCTTGCTTTCATTTTTATTTATTTACCTTCTCATTTGTTCATTCATTCATTCTTTCATTTTTGAGACAGGGTCTTCCTGTAGCCCCAGCTGGCCTGGAACTATGTAGACAAGGCTGGCCTAGATCTCACAGAGATCCACCTGCCTGTCTCCTGAGTGCTGGGATTAAAGGTATGTGCCACCACATATGGATTTCAATTTATTTTTTAAATCCCCTTTATCTTTTTTAAAGAAAATTATTTATCTTTATTTTGTGTGTATGAATGTTTTACTTGCACTTACATAAATGCACCACTCTTGTGCAATGCCCTCGGAGGCCAGAAGAGGGTATCAGATCCCCTGGAACTGGTTGTGACAATGTGGGTGCTGGCAAGCAAACCCTGGTCTTGCAAGAGCTCTTAACTCCTGAGCCATCTCTCCAATCCCTGAAATCTCCTTTATCTTGAATCATGTAAAACACATATACTTGCCAGGCGTGGTGGTGCACGCATTTAATCCCAGCACTCGGGAGGCAGATACAGGCGGATCTCTGTGAGTTCAAGGCCAGCCAGGTCTACATAGTGAGTTCCAGACCAGCTAGGGTTTCAGGGAGACCCTGTCTCAAAAAGACCAAAACAACAACAACAACAACAACAACAACAACAACAAAACAACATTAGAAGGGTCAGACAAACAGATGGCATCAAATAGTCCTCCATTCCTTCCAGCCTTAATAATTATGATTCCAGGGGCTGGAGAGATGGCTCAATGGTTAAGAGTACTTATAGTTCTTCCAGAGGACCCAGATTCAGTTCCCAGCAACCACCAAGCAGCTTAACTCCTTAACTCCAGTTCCTGGGGATCCAACACCTTCTTCTGGCCTCTGTGGGCACCAGGCACATATGTGATACACTCACATATATGCAAGCAAAACACTCATCCACATAAAATAATAATTACAATTCTACTATGTTAGCAATGATTAATGATTTTCCTTCCTTCCAATACCTTAATCTGGTGCTGTAAGATTATAACAGGAGAAACCTAGAAGACTCTCTTCCCCAACAACTGAAAATTCATTCTTGGAAACATACAAACAAGTGGCTATTTATTTTTATGTGTTTAAGTGTTTTGCCTGCAGATGTGTAAATGTACCTGTGCATGCAATGCCCATTGAGACCAGAAGAGGGCAACAGATCCCCCTCAAACTGGAGTTATAGCCAGTTGTTAGCTGCTATGTAGTTGCTGAGAATTGAACCTGGGTCCTCCAAAAGAGCAGCCAGTGCTCTTAACTGTTGAGCTATCTCTCCAGCCCATTTGTTGTTGTTTTTGGAGATAGGATCTCACTATGATGTAGTTTTAGGCTGGTACAGAACTCACTATATAGATCAGGATGGCCTCAAACTCACAGAGATTCACCTGCCTCTGCCTCCCAAGTGCTGGGATTAAAGGTGTGAGCCACCTCACCTGGTCCAAGGTTGTCATTTCTTATTGAATGGGATGGCCTTCACACCTCTTCTACTGTTTCTCAGGGGTTTCTTGGTGTGTGGTATACTCAAATTCTGAAAGCAGGCTATAATAAGCTGATCCTAAACTCTATTTAGGGGAATCTCCTAAATCTTTCCATGTGCACCTCTAATTTGAGTTCTGACCAAGTACATGGCTCAGGAGGGGTTTTAACATTTAGGGCAACCTGTTCTCCCTTTGGGTTACTAGGAGGGACATCCTGGGGTACCTGGGTTCTAGCAGGCCTTGCTCCACTCCCCACGCCATCTCTTTTACAGCATTGGTGATCTCATGACGAGACGTGTATGCAAAGCAGACATTGAGGAAACACCTGAGGATGGCAGAAGAGAATCATTTATCAAATGGGCACAAGGAGCAATGACTGGAGTCTCGGATTACAGAGCAACCCTTCCCTGGAGGGGTACAGACACTAAATGTCAGCTGTGCAAAATTTTGAAGGGTGAGACTTTGAGTTCTTCTGTGATTCCCAAGATTTCTTGGAATAACAAGACACATACTAAATGGCCTTAACTGCCTTCCTAACCTTCTCCCTCCCTCTACTACCATCTTACAGAGGATAGAATTCCACTGTGATCTAGCACAAGCAGAGAATAAAGAGGAGATTTGGCACAAAACAAACTCACAGCCAAACACTATAATTTCAAAGCTACGCACAATGGTGTCTGGATTACCGAACTTGGTTCCCCTCTCAATCTGTCCATGGGCTAAAGGAATGGGATAGGAAAAAGATAACCAAAAAAAACCCAAACAACAACAACAGCAACAAAACACCTCTTGAAAGATTTGGAGAGAAAAGGACTAGGACTACTTTATTTCTACTCTAACTCTTGTCCAGTTAAAATATGTATTTGTATGTGTGCTTGTACACACACATATAGTCAAGGGTGACAGTCGAATGAGAACTGTGTTTATATATGAGTACATACATATCTAACATGGTAACACCACTAGTCTGTCTTATAGATAAAAAGAGAAATTCTCTAAGCATCATAAAGTAACTCCTCATTGTACTTTGCACTAAATGCAAACCAAGAAAGCTCTGGATGTCTCCCTTGAGGGGCAGTCTGCAAACCTACTTGTTATAGTGCTTAGTGGCTTGTACAGCATGTGCAATCTTCTCCTGGAGGTCCAAGGGCAACAAATGCAGATCACCCAAGACGCGGATGCATACCCCGTGTTTCTGCAGCTTCTCCCTGATCAGGAAAAAGGAGGCAGCATTGTGACAGTGTACCTGCTGGGCTGGAGAAGGCAGAGTACTTAGTCCACCATCCTCTGAGGTACATACTATAATGCTCGCCTTTTTACAGATGAAGAAGCCGAGGTAAGGGGGATCAGAGTATTTGTTTAGACAGCTGTGTGAATGAACAGCCAGGTCTGAGCCTGAGGAGTCTAGCTACAAAGCCTGATTCCTAATCATCTCAGTGCTTCTACTCAGTAACTCCGAGACTGCACATGGGCAGAATGTACTTGCTGTTAACCACCCAGCTTCCCTCACCTGGGAAGCTTGGTGTTTGGGAATCAGGACTTGGTATTATGGGATATAGGGTTATCTGGCAGGTTGTGAAGGACTCTGATCCAGAACTGAAGGCCCCATTCAAGGCCTATCCACCTTATATAACCTTCAACCATATTTTGTCCAAGTCTGTGGAATAAGAACGGATTACCTATTTGAGGACCTGCTGGAATTACAGAAGATAAATATAGTCTCATCAAGGCAAAATCTGAATATGATGCCTAGATGTGAGTTCAATTACTTCAACTTAATAGCTGACCTTGCATCAACACCTGGCTTCGTAGAGCTCAGCCTCTACTCATCTCTGTCCCCTCATGTATGTAAACTGGTGACAGTCTTTCCTTGCCATATTATCCTGACAAATTTCTGTCATGTGAGAAGAGGAACACAGGAATGTTAATTTCTCAGAGGGCAGAGGCAGGACTTCCTTGAGGTCTGAAGAACAGCAAAGGCCCTGAAGGAGCCAGGAGACTGAGTTCCCAACCTGGCTCTGTCATTAACCTACTGTGGCCACTAACAAGGCCTTCTTTTCACAAGAGTTTATTCACTACCAATGAAATGCAAGTAGGCTAGTAGTTTTGTGTTTTTCATGTACGCGCGTGTGTGTGTGTCTGCACAGAGACCGGGGATAACCTTGGGTATCATCCATCTACCTCCTTTTAGGGTATTATCCATCTACCTCCTTTTAAAGACAGGGTTTCTTTTCTTTTCTTTTCTTTTTTTTTTTTTGAGACAGGGTCTCCCATTAGCCCCAGCCAGCCTGGAACTCACTATGTAACCAGGCTGGGCTCGATCTCACAGAGATCTGTGTGCCTCTGCCTCCCAAGTGCTGGGATCAAAGACCTGCACCAATGCCTGGCAAGACAGGGTTTCTTTTTTCTTTGGGTTTTTTTTTTTTTTTTTTTGAGATAGGGGCTCCCTGTTGTCCCAGCTGTCCTGGAACTCATTATGTAGACCAGGCTGGCCTCAAACTCAGAGATCCACCTGCCTCTGCCTTCCAAGTGCTGGGATTAAAGGCATGCACCACCATGCCTGGCAAGACAGGGTTTCTTATTGGAGCTCCCCCAATTAAGGATAGATGGCTGATGGCTGGCCACTGAGCCCCAGGGATCCTCCTGCCTCCTCTGCAGTAATGAGATTATAAGATTATACCATCACTTTTACACAGGTTATAGGGATCCAACTCAGGTAGCTTTTTTTTTCACTGTTGATTACAGGTGATTTTCATGTTCTTTTTGAATTTTTTTATTGAATTTTTGTTTATTTCTTTTTGCTTTTTTTTTTTTTTTTTTTTTTTTTTTTTTTTTGGTCTTTTTGAGACAGGGTCTCCTTGTAGTCCCAGCTGGCCTAGAACTCCCCATGTAGACCAAGCTGGCCTTGAACTTACAGAGATCTGCCTGCCTCTGCCTCCCAAGTGCTGGGACTAAAGGCGTGCACCACCATGCCTGGTTTAAATTTTTGTGTATTTCATACAGAAAATCATCTTTATGCTCCCTTCCCCTTTGGCACCCTCCCATAGCCCCACCACTGGAGTTCATACAGTCATTTGTGTTAAGGCCTATTATGTAAAATTAGTGTCCCCAGATGTCCCTCAAAGCAAGAACATCCACTGGGGTTTAGTCAGCCTATCTAGAGTCTCTCCTTTCAAGATCAGTTCTTCCTCAGCCAACAGTAATCAGCTGCCAATAATTCTTCGACTAAGATTGGGGCCTACTGTTCATTTCCACAGTTCTATGCTGGGCTTTTGTTTGCCTAAGTTTGCATGGGTGTTGTGCATGCTGACACCATTCCTGTAGGTTTATATGAGAAGGGTCCCAAAGCATCTGTAGGACCATTTCCATATGGTCACGCACCTCCTCCCTGGCTCTTACCATCTTTCTGCCCCCTCTTCTGCAATGGTCCCTGAGCCCTGGGTGGGTGGACCTCAATACAGGCGCCCTGTCCAAGGACCCACACTCTGTCAACTCTTATTCTCTGCATTTTGGCCATTTGTGTTCCTGGCTCTGTTACATGAGAGAGCTTCATAAATGAGAACTGAAAGATGCATTAGTGTTCTCTTCATCCCTTGTTCTATGTTCCATGAGTCTTGGGTGTAGAGGTTGCATCCTAGACATGCCACTTAGACAATTCACAGAAAATCTCTGTGTGTAGCCAGTGGTGTAACTCTGTAATAATCTCTGTCTGTTGAAAAAGCTACTTTGATGGGTGGTGACTTGGATATTGTTTACAGATTTAAGGATCCATATTTTGCACTTGAAATAAGTGCAAATAATACAAATTAATAAGAAATTAATTTGCCTAGGGATATGAGAGCCTTGGGGTTTTCTAAGATTTATGACCCCTCCAGCTATGTGTATTTGGCTAGGTTTACAATACCAGACATGAGTTTCCTCCCACTGAATAGGCTTTAAGTCCAATTAGGTAGCTGTTGATTACCCTCAAGATAAAAGTACCACTACTGTACCAATGTCGTTTGCTGTGCTGGTCACTGATGTGGTTTTTAGGCCTTGAAGCTGGGGTTGGACATCCATTGACGTTCTCCCTTACAAGCTTTTGTAGTGCTCTCCAAAGCTATGAGAGCCAGCCTTCATGGGAGGTGGCTTCCAGGTCAGTTCTAGCTCCATTTTGTAACTTATGCTTTTGAGGCAAGTACTTTACTGATTGAGTTATCTCCTCAGCCCAGGTTATTAGTTTTCAAACTTTCTTTTAGCTAAATAACTCTTTTCAAATAGAAGGTCAATAATATATGCTGGGTGTTGTGGCACACGCCTTTAATCTCAGCACTTAAGAGGCAGAGGTAGGCAGATCTTTGTGAGTTCAAGGCCGGCTGTGGCTACAGGGAGACCCTGTCTCAAAAAGACAAAAAAAGAAAAGATCAGTAATATACTATATACAAAAGTAAATGAACATTCTAGACCCACTTATCATTGGATTCTTTACCCAAAGTCCATTCCTCAAAACTCTAGAACAGAGAGAGATGGGTAGATGGGAAAGTAGAGGGGTAAGGAGAGGAAATTGTTGGAAAAGCACCTGAAGTCTGTTGCTCCAGTCAGGACTTCCTAAGCTAACACTGGCTGATTACAGCAATCTCAGCAGTTCCTGAAACTGATGTTACAGCAAGTTTAAGAATCCCTTCTCTAGCTGGGTGTGGTGGCACATGCCTTTAGTCCCAGTATTTGAGAGGCAGAGGAAGACAGATCTCTGTGAGTTCGAGGCCAACCTGGTCTATATGGCAAGTTCCAGGCTAGCTGGGGCTACAGGGAGACCCTGTCTCAAAAAGACCAAAAAAAAAAAGAATCCCTCTCTCTATTGGGCACAGTATAGCGCACCTGCAGTCCCAGCACTTAGAAAGGCAGGGGCAGGGCTGGAGAGATGGCTCTCAGCAGTTAAGAGCACCAGCCGCTCTGGCAGAAGACACGGGTTTGGTTCCCAGCATTGATATTAACAGCCATCCATAACTCCAGTTCCAGGGGATCCAATGCCTTCTTCTGACCTCTGAAAGCATTGCATGACATGGACGCACTTACATACATGCAGGCAAGACATTCATATGTATAAAATACATATAAATTTTTTCTTTTTATGCCTTGAACTCACAGAGATTCACCTGCCTCTGTCTCCCATGTGCTGGGATTAAAGGTGTGTGCCCCCACACCTGGCCTAAACAAAATATTTAAGAGCAAACTTGTTTTAATTATTATTTTTACTTTATGTGTATGAGTAGACCTGCAAGTGTATAAGCACACCCATGTCATGCGATGCCTGCGGAGACCAGAAGAGGGCATCGGATTCCCCTGGAACTGGAGCTGTAGTTTTCAGCCACGTGTGGCTCACGCTCACCTCTACCATTCTTTTTTTATAATTAAAAAAAATGGGGGCAAGAGCACTGACTGCTCTTGCAGAGGACCCAGGTTTGATTCCCAGCACCCACATGGCAGCTAACAACTGTCTGTAACTCCAGTTCCAGGGGAATCTAATGCCCTCTTCTGATCTCCTCGGGCACTGCATGACACAGGTGCACTTAACATACATGAAAGCAATACACTCATACACATAAAAATTTTTAAAAATAATAAAAATATTTTTAAGATCCTTTTGGATCCCTTAATAAGTTTCAGATAACAGGGCTGGTGGTAGGAAAGCAGGGAAAGGGATGATATCTTACTGTTCTTCCATCAAGCAGGTAAACTTCTGACGGGCCAGATCCAGAAGCCCATCAACCTCACTCTTGGAACGTTTGAAGTTCTCAATGCTGAAAGCGTAGACAGTTACTTCAAGGATGCCCAGGTTCAAACACCAGCGCAGAGTCTGAGGGGGAGAAAGTAAAGAGCTAAGACACGGGAAGAATGGGAAGAGATGCTTTGACTCTGAGTCAGAGTTGGAAGAGGGACTTTTCTCCACCCCAAACCTGGGTAAAGCTAGGATAACTTCAGCACTTATGTCAGAATAATGAACCAAAGAGAAAGAAAGTCAACATTCAAGAAAATGAAAAATGGGGCTGGAGAGATGGGTCAGTGGTTAGCTCAGTAGTTAAGAGTGCTTACTGCTCTTGCAGAGGATCTAGGTTTGGGTCTCAGCACCCACATGGCAGCTAACAACTAACTGTCTGTAACTCCAGTTCCAGGGGAATCTGATGCCCTCTTCTGATCTCCTCCGGCACTGCATGACACAGGTGCATTTACATACATGCAAGCCACATGGTAGCTCACAACCAACTGTGACTCCAATTCCAGGGGATACAATATTCTCTTCTTACTTCCATGGGCTCCTGCATGCACATAAACTCATACAGGGCCATATATATATATATATAATGAATAAATAAATCTTAAAAAAAGAAAAGCCAGGCATGGTAGGTAGTACACACCTTTAATCCCAGCACTCAGGATGCAGAGACAGGCAAACTCTGAGTTGAGGCCAGCCTGGTCTACATAGCAAGTTTTCAGTCAGCTGGGGCTATAGGAAGACCCTGTCTCAAAAAACCCAAAACAAATAGACAAATAAACAGAACAAAAAAAAAAAAAAAGAAAGAAAGAAAAGAGGGATGGAGGGATGGATCAGCAGTTAAGAGCACTGGCTGCTGGCCGCTCTTGCAGAGCATTCAGGTTCAGTTCCCAGCACCCACATGGATACTATCAACTGTCTGTAACTCCAGTTCCAGGGGATCAGACACCCTCCTTGACCTCCAGAGGCATTGTACCCCTGAGGTGCACTGACATGTTTGCAGGCAAAACACTCATACACATAAAATATAAAAATTAAAATTTAAGAGCTGGGTGTGGTGGTGCATGTCTTTAGTCCCAGGACTCAGGAGGCAGAGGCAGGTGATCTCTGTGGGTTTGAGGTCAGCCTGGTCTACATAGCAAGTTCCGGGCCAGCTAGGGCTACAGGAAGACCCTGTCTCAAAAAAAAAAGAAAAGACAAACTGAAAAATTTAAGGCTTTGTGTAGTGGGTCAGGTCTGTTATACCAGTATCTGGGAGGCTGACGCACAAGGATCAAGGTCAGCCTGAGTTACATAATGAGACCCTGTCTCAAAAAAAACTCAGAAAAATATCAAAAGAAACAGCCAGGATGGTGGTGAATGCTTATCATCGCAGCACCTAAAAGGTGAGGATCAGGAGTTCAAGGTCATCCTGGGATGCAAATTGAATTTGAGGCCAACCAAGGCTACATGAAAACAAAAAAACAAAAAAAGTAACTAAAAAGTATAATCTGTAGTTTACCTGAAAGAACTCTTTTCTGAGAGTGTAAAGACCTAGGTTCTAACAGAGACTCCACTGGGACTTTTTATGGAGCTGGAGGCAATCATTAATCTCTCTAGGACTAAATTCCTTTATTTGTAAAAAGGGATTATAAACCCATCCCTGATAAGGTGGTTAATCAAGAATATAAAAACATGAACATAAGTTTGTCTGTTTTGTTTTATTTCTTAGAGCATAACTTCATTATATGGCAGATTGAGAGGCGGGTTAAAGTTAGAGAATAGAAACAACTGGACCACTGGGCATATTTCATAGTTGGCAAAAGTTTTCTCATAGTTCAGCTATTTAGAAGAGACATTATTGTTTTCATGCCCAGTTTACAGATGATAAATCAACTCTGAGAGCCGATTCAAGTCAAGCATAACTTCCGGGAGTAATGGCACAAACTTAAGGCACTTAAGAGCCAAGCAGGAGAATCCTGAGTTCAACGCCAGCCTGAGATACATGAGATGCTCTCTATAAAAAAATAAATAAATAAAATAAAATAAATAAAGTAGGAGTATAGTTCAGAGATAGACTAGTTGTGTAGCATACACAGGCCTTCAGTTCGATTTCTTTGTTATTTGACATAGAATCTCCCTATGTGGCCTTGGGTAGCCTAGAACTAGCACTGTAGACCAGACTGGCCTTGAACTTGTAGCAATCTTGTCTCAGCCTTCAGTGTTGGGATTAAAGGTGTGTGCCACTACACCTGGCCTGCTTTATGCTTCACTGCCTTAATCCTCCTAACAGTCAGTTGCTAAACTAGTTAACAGAAGAAACTGAGACAAAGGGAAATTTCCTAACATTGCAGGTCACAGAGTTGTCACAAGAATGCTGCGAGCTTCTTTCTCTTTGCAAGAGGTAAAGAACAGCCTGCATCAATGAGTTCTAAGCGAAAAGCAATACAACACTTCTTTTTTTTTTTTTTCGGTCCTTTTGAAACAAGTCTCCCTGTAGCCCCAGCTGACCTGGAACTCACTATGTAGACCAGGCTGGTCTTGAACTCACAGAGATCCCCCTGCCTCTGCCTCCCAAGTGCTGAGACTACAGGCGTGCGCCACCTGCCCGGCACAATACAGCACTTCTATAGAGTGCTCTGGGACTTTTAAGTTACAGACCAAGTTTTCATTCCACATTTGCCACAGTGCACATGTGGAGGTCAGAGGACAAAACACAGGAATGGTTGTCTCTTTCCAATATGTGGATCAAGGGGATCCAACTCAGATTTTAAGGCTTGGTAGCAAGCACCTTTACCTGCTGAGCCATCTCTCTGGCCCTCATTCTACCTTTTTTTTTTTTTTTTTTTAAGACAAGGTTTCATGTAGCCTAGGCTGACCTCAAATCCACCATATTGCCAAGGGAGGATGACCTTGAACTCCTGGTTCGCCTGCTTCTACTTCCCAAATACTGGAATTACTGATGTGTGCCACTACACCCAGCTCTACTCTTTTTTTTTTCTTTTTAATATTTCATTATTTTCATTTTATGTGTATGAGTGTACTGCCTGCATGTATATGAGTGTGCCCGTGTTCTGCAATGCCATGGAGGTCAGAAGAGGGCTTTGGATTCCCCTGGAACTGGAGTTAAGGATGGCTGGTAGCCACCGTGTGGGTTCTGGGAATTGAACCTGGGTCCTCTGCAAGAGCAGTCAGTGCTCTTAACTGCCGAGCCATCTTTCCAGCCTCCCAGCCCTATTCTTTAAAAAAAATTTTTATACAGGATCTCCTTATATAGCTCTGGCTAGCCTAGAACTCACTATGTACATCAAGATGGCTTCAAACCTGCAGAGATCCTGATTCTGTCTCCTGAATACTGGGATTACAGGTGTATCCCAGCATGCTTGATTCAAGTAGTGCTGGGAATCAAACCCAAGGCTTCAGGCATACCAGGCAAGCACTCTGCCAACTGAGCTATATCTTTAGCCCCCATTCTTCTTCTTTTTTTGTCTTTTTCAGACAGGATCTCCCTGTAGCCCTTGCTAGCCTGGACTCACTACAGAGACCAGGCTGGCCTCAATCTCACCAAGATTTGCCTGCCTCTACCTCCAGAATGCCAGGATTAAAGGCCTGTGCCTGGATAGCCTTCAATCTTCTTGAAAGTTTGTTTCACAAAGGACTAGGGGGTGGCTTAGTAGAAAAGCATGTAACATATGTAAGACCTTGACTTAAATCCATCCCAAGGAACAACAAAACAAAATGTTAATTTTGCAAAGATTGACATATTTCTTCTTTCCTTTTTATTTTGCAGTACAGGGCATTTAACCCGGGTCCTTGCACAGGCTAGGTAACCAATCTACCGTCTGGTTTTATCCTCAATTCATTTTGTATTTTTTGTTTTGAAACAGGGACTCACTAAATTGTCAGACTGGCTTTGAACTCCATCTGCAGGCCAGGCGGGCCTTCAACTTACAGCTTCTAGCACCAGCCTTGCTGGTAGCTAGGACTGTGCACTCATGCTGGCCTCACCTTTTATTCTTACTGTTAAATGTGGTTATTTCCCAACTTACAATATGCACTAAAAACAGCATGTTCTAAGCTGGGAGTGGTGGCTCATACCAGTGGAGACAGGAGGATCAGGAGCTGATCAATCCTCAGCTACATAGTGAGTTCAAGGCCAGTGTAGACAATATGGGTCCCTATGTAAAAAAAAGAAAAAGAAGTTCACAACTTCTCTGTCAGCTTAATTCAGGTTGGTCTGCTAATCTCTCATAATAGCACTGAAAGGCCTGTGTCCTGAAAACTCCTTAGCACTGGCAAAACAGGATAGGTAGACTCTTAGTACTCCAGAAATGTAATTTCTAACTATTTAACCTAAAACGATACTATTTTTTTGTTTTGTTTTTTGAAACTGGGTCTTACTATGTAGGCCTGGCTGGCCAGGAACTCACTATATAGCCTAGGTTAGCCTCAAGTTCCTGCCTTAGCCTCCCAAGTGCTATGTATAGGCAGGCACATGCCTCCACATCTGGCTTCAAAAATTTTTTTTTCTAATTTTTTTTTTTAAATTTACTTTATGTATATGAGTGTTGTGCTTGCATGCATGTAAGCACACCTATGTTGTGCAGTACCCAAGGAGGCCATAAGTAGGGGTTGGATCCCCTGGAATTGGAGCTATAGACACTTGTTAGCCACCACGTGGATGCTGGGACTCAAACCTATGTCTTCTGCAAGGGTATTCAGTGCTCTTAACTTCTGAGCCATCTCTCCAGCCTGCTAAAAAAATTTTTTTTAATTTATTTTACTTTTAATTATGTGCTTGTCTATGTGTAGATATGTATATATTCATGCAGTGTCCATGAAGACC